AAATCATACTGCTCTCAGTTATTTGGGACTGGATGGGTGTAGGATCGGTGGTAAGTATCCTGAATGGATGTTTGATCTTCCACAACTGTCAGGATTATACCCTTGGAGGAAACAACTTTGATGGTGACTTAGTTGTTTTGCTCAACGGGCTTTGGCGGTTCCACAGTCTAAACCTGATGGGTAATGCTATTACGGGTTAATCCCCCCCCCCCCCCTCTTCTCCAAATAGAACCCAACTGATAAATATTCTCCTGTGGGGTAATAAAATATATGGAAGTCTCCCGCAATGGTTATTTGACATTTCGGCTTTGGAGTCGCTTGATTTACATTCCAGATATTTCAAAATGCAAGATTTGAGTATGTTCTCAAATCTTAGAGCGTTAATGTATTTGTCTCTCTCTCGAAACAAATTCACATTAACCAAAGTTGCACCATTTCCTGAATCAATTATTTTATTGAGACTGGTATCCTTAAATTTGTCAGATTTGAGCTTTTTAGACAACTTGAGGAACCTTGAATTATTAAATCTCTGTGACAACAACATGGGAAAACTCCACCTTGGGTTTCCTAAAAGTGGAAGTTTTTGGATTCTTTAACTCTCTCTCACAATTCCCTTTGAAGTGTGGAAGGGCTATTAACTCTTCTTCTCAATGATTTAGACGTGAGCTTTAATTTGATAGAAGGGCCACTTCGTGTTAATTAATTCAACCTAACGAACTTTCTAGCATCTCACAATTTGTTTTCTGGAGAGATACTTCATATTTGCAATTTAAAACTCCTACAAGTCTTGGATTTACCCCCATAACAATCTCAGTGGAGTGCTTCCACATTGTTTGGAAAGATTGAGAAGTTTGGAGGTTTTGGATGTGCACTCCAAAACATGGGTCCATTCCCCCAACATCGGCAGTTGGAAATGAAATGCATACACTCAACTTAAGAGGTAATAAATTGGACGGTAAGATACCAAAGTCTATTGTTAAGTGTACTAAGTTGCAGTTTTTTTTACATTGAAGATAAATCTTTACGGATGTTTTCCCAAATTGGATTATGACACTCCCACAACTATAAGTTCTTAACGTTAAGTCAAACTAACTATATGGATCCATAATTCATCCTAAAGCGAAAAACTTATCATCAATGTTAAGAATTGTTGATATCTTCAACAACGAGTTTAGTGGTGGTTTGCCGTTGTGGCTTTTCAGAAGTTTAACAAATATGAAACACAAAATCGAAGTAACAACGAGAAGAGATTATTTTTGGGTTCAGGGATACCTAGACTTTCTGGAGCTCAATTTGAAGGGAACACAAGTTGTGTTTGAATATATCTTAAGTGTTTTCACCACCACTGATCTTTCAAACAATAAGTTTGTTGGAAACATTTCGATTGTGATATGTGACCTTCAAGTATTGCAACTTTTAGATTTTTAAAAATAATCGCCCATCTTAATTGAACTTTAAAATTTTTCTTTTATATATGCAATATTTTTCATAAAGTTTTTATACTTTAATTAGATATATATGTTTGCCAACCTTAAATTTTAGTTTTCAAAATTTTAAAACTTGCACTGCTTGAAGCTCACATATTACAATCGAAATGTTTCCAACAAACTTGTTGTTTAAAAGATCAATAATGGTGGTGAAAACACTTAAGATGTATTCAAACACAACTTGTGTTCCCTTGAAATTGAGCTCCAGAGAGTCTAGGTAATCCTGAACCCAAAAATAATCTCTTCTCATTGTGGTTTCGCTTTTGTGTCTCATATTTGTTAAACTTTTGAAAGCCACAACGGCAAACCCCCAATAAACTCGTTGTTGGAGATATCAACAATTCTTAACAATGACGATAAGTTTTCGGCTTTAGGATGAATTATATATCCATATAGCTAGTTTGATCTAACACTAAGAATTTGTGGTTGTGGGAGTGTTATAATCCAATTTGGAAAAACATCCGTGAAGATGTTATCTACAATGTCAAAATTCTGCAACTTTGTATGCTTAACAATTGAGTTTGGTATCTTACCGCCCAATTTATTACCTCTTAAGTTGAGTGTATGCATTTCATTTCCAACTGCCCATGTTAGGGGAATGGACCCATGGAAATCATAGGAGTGCACATCTAAAAGCTCCAAAATACTCAATTTTCCCAAACAATGTGAAAGCACTCCACTGAGATTGTTATGGGGTAAGTCCAAGACTTGTAGAAGTTTTAAATTGCAAATATGAAGTATCTCTCCGAAAACAAATTGTGAGATGCTAGAAAGTTCGTTATGTTGAATTCCAGAACAGGAAGTGACCCTTCTATCAAATTGAAGCTCACGTCTAAATCATTGAGTTGAAGAGTTAATAGCCCTTCCACACTCCGAAGGGAGTTGTTAGAGAGATTTAGATAATTCAAAGACTTCCAGTTTGAAGAAACCCACGGTGAAATTTTCTTAAATTGTTGTCACGAGGATTTAATAATTCAAGCAGGTTCCTCAAGTTTTCTAAAAGGCTCAAATCCGAAAAATTTAAGGTTCCGAGTCTCAATAAAAAAACTTATTCAGGCAATGGTGCAACTCTGGTTACTCTCAAGTTGTTTCGAGAGAGAAACAAATACTTTAGCGCACTAAGATTTGAGAACATGCTCAAATCCAAGCCTCCGCGGAAATTATTCCGATGGACTGTGAATGCAATCAAATTCTTGGTTTTTGAAATATCTGGAATGTATCCTTGTACATAATTCATGCCAACATCAAGCGACTCCAAAGCCGAAATGTCAATTAACCATTGTGGGAGACTTCCATGTACTTTATTACCCCACTAGAGAATATTTATCAGTTGGGTTCTATTTGGAGAAGAGGGAGGAAATTGACTCGTGATAGCATTACCCATCAGGTTTAAACTGTTGACCCGCCAAACCCCGTTGAAAAAAACAGTTAAGTCACCTTCAAAGTTATTTCCTCCAAGGGTATAATCCTGATAGTTGTGAAAGATCAAAAACCCATTCGGGAAACTTACCACCGATCCTACGCCCATCCAGCCCCAAATAACTGAGAGCAGTAAGATTTGAAAATAATTCCATTTTAATTTCAAAACATTGTGTATTACCAACATCCAAATAGGAGAGGGTGGAGTTGCTTTTCTATATGGCCCGGAGAAGTTGAACTCTATGATCATAATTGAAGCCGAGATCAAGTATTTGTAATTTTGGGATATCGAAAATGTTAGAAATCAAATTTCCAAATACTTGTGTGTAGGAAAGATCGAGAACTCTAAAGCTGGAAGACATATTTTGTGGTCGATTTAAACCTATGTGCATACTACTCAGAATAACTTCTTCTAGATGTGGTTTTTCTGGAAGAAGATAGCTGAAATCATGACTACTTATTGTTAAGTTTAACGAGTGACTGAGGTCAAGACTCAAGAGAGATTAAATTGGGAAGATAAAAAATCTCTAAAGGAATGGAGTAATGTGAGGGGAGGTTTAATTGAGTGGGTGGAGACAAATTTTTTATTATACCCGGATGTAGTGAGTCCCACAGGAAATGATTGTTATTCAGGTTCAAGTTTTTTAAATTCTGAAGATCAAATAGGGTGGTGTTGAAATAAATGGTTCCGTTGAGCCCGTTGCAGCCTAGATCAAGGCCAATCACGTGACCCAATGATTTATCAAATCTTATTCCATCTCACAAACATCAATTATGAACGCTTATGTTCCAGGTTTTTTGTAAGTTTGGCAGGTTTGGGATGGATCGTGGCGGAAGGAACTTCTGAATTTATACAAGGCATCACATTCATCCGACAACTAACTGCCGGAAATAGTGACCAAGAGAATAAAGCAAAAGGAAGTGAACAAAGATAATTCTGAAATAAGCCGCATCTTCGATACAATGGGGGAAAGTAGGAGAGGAAGGAGAGAGCGGGAGAGTAGTAGAGTAGGGGAGTAGAGATTAGCAGAACTGCAGAAGTGCGGAATGTTGTGTGCAATAGCAGTCTTTAAATAGGAAGTAGCAGAGCATAAGAGAGATGTGCTTTTCTATGCGACCACACGGTTTCCTTCTTTTCATTTAGCAGTACAGGGATTTAGACACGTGTGTTGCCGGATTTGTTACATGTCGTATTCCTTTATCCTACGACTTATTCTGCTTGATTTTTCTAAGACTATACGTATACTTGTAAGTCATTCTTTTTTTTCATTTCGCAGAACTGGATTTAGGCACGTGTGTTGCCGGATTTGTTACCTGTTGTATTCCTTCATCCTACACAACTTATTCTGCTCGATTACTGTAAGCCCTTATTCATGTGCGCACCAATCAACAGGGCCGGCCATGGGGGCATGCAACCTAGTATCAACTCCGTAAAACATTAAAAAACTAATGCAACTTAGGTTCGATTTAGGTAAAGTCTCATCTGTAAAGATTGTTTCATTTGTTTATGATTGGAAATCGATGCTAAAAGTTTCATTAGTAGGGTTTTCAATTTGCAGTGACTATAATGCTTTTGTAGGAATGTCTTAATGTGATTTTCTAGACCTGAAGTATTATTTATTAGTCTAATTAAATATTCTGCCGATTAAAACTACATGTTTTCACACACAATACGAATTGATCTCATACATACTTTTTCATTTGCAACTTAATTTAACTCTAATTACATATATCAGTATTTCACTTGTCCCTTGTTTAATTGTTTTTTTATTGATACATTTTTTTAAAACTACAAATTATCTGATTAATATTATAGTTTGATTTTGGACCCCTAACCAAAATTAACATTCCACTGCCTACAATGACAGAAAAAACATACATAGATCTAGACATCATATGTTGAAATCATCAGGTTAAGCTGACAAGGTTAAACTGACAAGGCAATGAACCATTCCATCTCTGGTCTAAGGTTGTGTCTTGAGACCAAGCTAAGGTACGAATTGTTATGTATTGTAGAGAAACCATACTTGTTAAGTTTATAAGTTGTGTAATTTTACTTGGATTTTCTTGTGAATCGTGGGAGAGGAGACATACCTCGAAGTCCCTATATTGATCCATGAGTGTAGACGAACCGGGCTTTGATTCGGAACGCTGTTTGCACTCGCTTTGGTTCAAACACCAGCCTCCTCCCTTCAAATTATGTCACCATATATATTTCATCAAATACAAATAAATGATACTCCCTCCGTCCCAGTTTGTTTTGCAAAGTCAACATTTTTTTGTCAACCAATAATAAAAGTCAACTCTCCCTACACATAATTAATTCAATTTTTAATAATTAAAATTTACATATTCAAAAACTACATTAAAATCTCTTCAAAGTTGTAAACTCCAAATTAGAAAATAATTAAAAATTAACATCCTAATTAAGTGAACAAAACGAGACTGTTTGACTAAGAAAAGTCAAATTTGCAACTCTTTTAGGGACGGAGGTAGTATTACTTTAATTTGGGGGATTAAAATTAAGTAAAAGGCATATACTATCCTCCATCTTTTTTAATCGCAACATGTTGAATTTTACACTATTCACATGTTCTACTTTGACTACATTTTGCGCTATTATTTTATAAAAATAATTTTTTATAAAAATATTGTTCAATTCATCTCATTACAAATTTTCAAAATCTGATTTTTAATTTTTTTGAGAGAGAATTCCCAAATTAGGAGTAAAACATGAGGTATTTGCAAAAACAAGACCTATTGTTTTAAAATTCCTAAATAGGGGTAAATATTTGTGTTTGGACAGAAATAGCCTTCGGTGCCCTAACATTGCGCATCGCTCCCATCCTCTGCAATTCATCGCAAACATCTCTTCCTCTCATGAACTGCAGATCCGCCACCGATTTTGGTCTTGCATCGCAGTTCCGCCGTCGACCATAGCCCTGCTCTCATTGGCAACCGGGTAGGTCTTCTTCTTCTTCTTCTAATCCTCTTCGGAGTTTTGGTCTTCTTCTTCTTCTTCCTCTTCCTCTTCCTCTTCCTCTTCCTCTTCCTCTTCTTCTAATCCTCTTCAAATTTCAGGTCCTCTGTTCTCTTCTTCTTTGGATTTTTTGAATTTGAATTTTATTTATTAATTTGGATTTTTAGATCGGAATTTTATTTTTTCCACAAAATGCCACTTTTATAATATGAAAATGTCAAAATTATTGATTATTTGAAAAAAAAATTGTCACATTGTGACAGTACATTTATCAGAATGACAATCTGAAAATGTCATATGTCCATAAGAAAATGCCATTAATGTGTCATTATTCATATCAAATGCAGTTCAAAAAAAGAAAATGACATCTCATGATCACATTTTCGAACGAGTAATAATGTCATTCTCATGAAACTTTCGAAACAAAAATGACATATTTTAAGTGTCGGTTTTTTTAGTAACAATGTCAGTTTCATGACATATTGTCATCTTGATAAATGTAATGTCATAAAAGTGACATTTTTCTAATTGCTTGTAATTTGTGGCATTTTGGGGTTCCAAATTAATCAAAATTAATAAAAAAAAATGAAATCTAAAGAAGAAGAAAACAGAGGACCCAGATTTAAAGAGGATGGGAATGGAAGGAGAAGACAAAAATAAAAAGAGGAGGAGGAGGAGGAGATGACCTGGGAGTCGCCGGAGAAGAGTATGGGAGCGGCCTGGGCGTCTTCATCGCAAATCGCCATTGGTCTTCATCGCAGATGGCCTGTGCGTCTTCATCGCAAATCGTTGTTGGTCTGCATCTCATCCTTGTTGGTCTGCATTTGTTGGAGCCGACAACTACTTTGGGGTTTTATTAAATGAAAGGTAAAAAAGTAACTGGGAGTCCTATTTAGGGAATAATAAACTTAATGTCCTATTGTGGAATTTTAACCATGTTTTAGTCCTAAATCAATTCCTTTTTTTACTAATAGAGATTAAGATATAATTACAGTCAAAGATGTGTGTTGGCAAGTGTGAAATGTTGACTATTGCAACTAAGAAAGAACCGGAGATGTAAATGATAAACTAGTACGTTCTAAACTTGTACTAGTAATCAAAATAACGTAACCAAGTTTTCTTGGATCACTTACTTGTAAAAAGATGAGCCAGTTGTCCAGCCCCCGACCTTCTCCTTGGTCAAAATAGTATACAGGGGGAGACGCATCCAAGCAAACTAGATTATACGGAGTATTATTATTAGGTAGATTCTATGGTACCCATAAAGTACAATACATTTGTCCACATGGACCAATGAGAATGTAGCAGTTGAATTATTTAAATCTAAATTAAAAATGATAAAGTGATGTGGTCCAATCAAATGAATGATAGGTACAATACCCCATATTTTAGAAAGGTACAGGAGTTGTCATCTTTCGCTATACATTCATGAATAGCGAATTAATAATTAACTTCATTATATTCCAAGCAAATACAAGTACGGAGTATTATACTACGTATATACACTCCATTTTATACCTGCGCCTTTTTCAATGGCATGCACGATCAACGAAAGTCGGGAAACGTTTTGCTGGGCGGCAGAGCCGGCGTTTAGCATGTTCAACATGTTCTACAGAACAGGGCCTCTCGATTTCTAGGGCCCCAATTTTTTTTTGAAGTTATTATTATTACATATGAACAATATATAAAAAATACTAATCGATAAAATAAAATTTCTTGTCCGTACCTTTACTCATTTTTCACTCCAGTTGATTGAGTGATGAGTTGTGCTCCTTTCAATCAAATATTAAGTGATTTTTAGAATTTTTATTACATTATTTGATGAGTATTCATTTTATTTCAGTATAAGTATTTACATTTATTTTTTATCTTTTATATTAATATGGGGTCTCATTTTTACGTTTGGAACGGGGCCTTCAAATTAATTAGATGGCTCTGCTGGGCAGCCTCCGTAAGAAGCATGCATGAAGCTAAAGGAAAGGAACACAAGAAGAAAAATAGAGGAAAAAATCAAAACGGAAAGTCGAGACAGAAAAAAGAGAGTAGATCTAACAAAGATCTTCACAATGAAAGAAGCTAGAGCCTAGAGAATAGATCAGTCAGCTTCATGCACGATGCAAAAAAAAAATACAAGGAGGGAAACACGGAGGAAGAGAAGACGCAGCAGAAAGAAGAAAACGGAGGATCGGAAGAACCTTACCAGGAATTCCGCCTCTAATATAACCTGCCGCCGCGTCTCTGTGCATCCGCCGCCGCCGTGTCGCGCCGCCGCCTCTAACTTCTTCCTTTTTTTGTTGTGCAGTGGGCAGTACGACACGCACCTGCCTTTTATAACGTGGTCCATCAATCCATCATCCCATGTGCATGCTTTTAATACGTACACCACCTTAGGGATGAAACAAGCGCAGGTATGGAATAAAGTGAAAGAAGTAGTAGTACGGTGTATATTACTTTAGAAACGAATTTAGATTGTATGAAACCGATGATATAGCTAGCTAGACACATGGACACTCGTACTACATACTGCGTATGGGCACTCGTACTATTTGCCCTAATTTTTAAAAAGTTTAAATTAAATACTACCTCCGTCCCTTGAATCACTCTTAATTGTTTACTTCATACTAGACGCAGGGACGGATCTAGTTAGTAAAGCTGGGGGCACTTGCCCCCAATAAGGTCATATTAACACTCCTTAATCCATTAAGAAAAAATACAAATCCCCTCATTTGCCCCCAATTAGAAAACAGGAATGCCCCCAACAAATTTACAGTCCAATCGAAGATGTCTAAAGTAAAATTTTTTCTAACTTTAGTTTAGGCTATACGGAAGAGAAGTAATAGCAATTAAAAGATTAAAATCACTAAAGATAGAAGAATTATGTTGCACATTTGAGAAGTGAGAACATCAAGGTAACTACGGAGTAATAAATAGGCAGATTCGAGAACAACAAATAGATAAATTTAGTAGTTACGGTCTGTTATGAGTTGTTCATTTGTTCCTGCTAGATACTCCGTATTGTTTATCCTTAATAGAATAAATAAAGATTATAATGTCGTTTGGTAATACTGTTTTTCAGCTTATCAGCCAACTTTTTTACTAAACACGTAACTTTTGTTTTCGCGCGCTGAATTGTCTAATAATTAGAAAAGTAAAGTTGGGGTTACTTTTCTGACTGTATTGGCTGAAGTTATTGTAGATGACCATTTTAACTATTTTTACATACAGAGTATAATATTTTCTTTATTTTATTAATAAAATATGTAGTATTTTAAAACTATTTTTTCTTAAATCAACATAACCAGCCAATGCAGGCATTTCAGCTAGAACTTCATAAATTTCAGCCGAATCAGTCGAGTTTCATGTTACCAAATGGACTCTATCACACATCCTAATTTATAAACATGTTAATACACTAGCTAGTCAGCCAGTAGGTTAAAATTAAGAAATTAACAATATAAAATTTTAAATTTACTATAGAACTATGTAAATAAAACTTTATCCAAATGTAAAATTAATTACATACTAATGTAATTAACACCTTTAATTTATTTAGGCTTAATAATGCTAAGATAGTTGGTAAAATCAGAACTACACGCTTTTATTGCTGGTTGTTTTATAGAGACAACACAAGATTTGAGATTTCTTAATAGTGTATTAGTTATTATTTAGAGGAATAGTGTTTTAGTTAATTAAAAAAATTAAAAACTTTAACTTTACATTTTTTATTAAATTTAATCGATAGCTTTTATTTTGAATAAAACACTGGTGTATTTTGGCACCAGTTAGTTCGAGTACAAATATATCTAATACCATTTGAATGCCCTAAGAAGTTATGTAGTAATATAGATGACTAATTTGAGCGATAGAAAGCGGTTTATTTCAAAGAGTCACTGCTCACAAATGAAACCGTAATAAATCACTTTTAAAAGATAAAAACTCAAGAAAAGTTGATCAAATTAATTAGTTCTTTTATATTGTAATACGCTTTATTTATTTCTAACAATTGGTGTATACTTTATAAAAAAATTTGTGTTTGATCTTATATGCTTTTTTTGTATTTGTATTTTCTGATGGCATTATTGTGACACTGCAAAAAAAAATCACATGTTCAAATTTCATCCCAGAACAAAGATGTTGGCCTTAACATAAAAAAACACTATAATTTATAGGTTAGGAAGTTTTGTCAAAAAGATAAAGTATTTTTGTGAACATATTTTGTGTATTACAATTTTGCCCCCAATAGCTTTTATTCCTGGATCCGCCACTGACTAGACGTACTACCAGTGTGATGCAAGGGGTGTATCTAGTATAGAATAATAATTAATTTATGTAAAATTTTATTTTATTAGATTCTATGTAATGTATATTTTTATCAAATAAAAAAGACAATAAAATTTATATGTTGTAGCTTTGATTATACTTTGTATAATATAGCTGTAAGAAAGTAAATTTTTTGTCTGCATGAGAAATTGGAAGAAAAAATCAAAATAAATAATAAGGTGTCATAATAAACTTTGAGTCCGTTTGGTGACGTTGTTTTTCGGTTTATAGGCTTATCAGCCAACTTTTTAACGAAACACGTAACTTTTGATTTCGCGCGTTGAATTATGTACTAATAAGAAAAAGTAAGGTTGAAGTTACTTTTCTTGCTGTACTGGCTGAAATTGCTGTAGATAACCATTTTTAGCTATTTTTCATATAATTTTTTCTTTATTTTATTAATAAAATATATTTTAAATATTTTTTTTCATAAATGAGCAGAATCAACCAATACGGACACTTCAATCAGAACTTCATTAATTTCAACAGAATCAGCCGATTTTACTCTTACCAAACACGCTCTCTATGAATGTTACTACCTCCGTCCCACTAAGATTGAGACGGAAGAAGGTGGCACGATTATTAAGAAAAGTGTGTTTGTGTGGCTGATATTAAATTGATATAGTAAGAATAAAGTAAAAATGGTTTAGAACCACACAATCTTTACCAAATTTGGTATGAGACAATCTTAGTGGGACTTCCCGAAAAGGTAAAATGAGACAATCTTAGCGGGACGGAGGGAGTATTATGGAATTAAGGATAGTGTAATTATTAGTAGGTCTCATAATGTTGTCTCAATTTTTTGTTTTGATCCGTTCTACTAAAATTGCCCCATATCAAATATAACAAGTTGTATGATTTTAAATCATTCTTACTCTATCAAAATTTTGATTTGTTAATGAAATTACTCATTACAGTCACCATCGATTTTATTACTCTGTAATTAGTGTACATAAGAGCATATCCAATGCTATATGGTGGTATCTATCCCATCAATCCATCATGCCATGTGCCCCATGTGTATGCTTTTAATACGTACACCACCTTAATTAGGGATGAAACAAGCGCATGTATGAAATAAAGTGAAAGAAGTACGGTGTATTACTTTAGAATCGAATTTAGATTGTATGAAACCGATGATATAGCTAGACACATGGACACTCGTACTACATACTGCGTAGTATATGGGCACTCGTACTATTTGCCCTAATTTTTAAAAAGTTTAAATTAAATACGAGTATATATTTTTAATATGTGAATACTTAGTTTTACATTGCTTTATCTCTCATATTAGCCTAAAAATGGGTTAAATGGCTACATAAGTTAAATAAATATGATAGGACAAATTAATAACATATCTTTGATTTTTTAAGTGCGTAGCACTTTTGTATTTAATGTGAGGCAACGTTATTACAAGTCACTAATGCAACCGTCTCTTTTACTCAATTAAATTAGGGCAGGACTCGGTCCGGTTCGGGCCCGGTTCGGGCCGCGAACCGGCCGGGCCTCGGTTCGTAGAAGTTGGGCCCGGGCCGCTAGTAGACGGGTGCCGGTTCGGGCCGGGTGACCCGGCCGGGCCCCGGGTCGGGTGAACCGCCGGGTCGGCTCGGGCCCCCTATTTTTTTTAAACGTTAAAATATACATCTTTTGGATATTATAAAACAATCTTCAAGTGCATTTATGTGAAATAGGAATTACATTTGAGAATTGAGAACAATTAAATCTAATACATTTTATAATAAGTAATAATAATATAATATAATTAATTGTAAGTTTCTAACTTTCTAAGTTGTAAGTTGTAAGTTGTAACTTGATTAATTTGAGAATTGTGACATATAAAAAAATATAATGTATATTGATTTGAAATATGAACTACAAATCTACAAGTTGACAAATTACAATAGAGAATTGAGGATAAAATAATAAATTGTAAAATACTAATCAATCGGAATCTCCGGCATAGGTAGAACCACTCTCGGTTGATTCATCCATAAAGTCTTGGAAGGGGGTGATGCTAACTTCTTGAGTTCTACGTCTTGCCTTCAACCAATCGTGGTAGCATATTGGTTAGGACGTTCTCAAGAGATTCGGCAGTCAAACACGTTCTCGATTTAGTTAGGACGTTGCCGGCCGAACTAAATTCTTGTTCCACGGCAACTGTTGAAACCGGCATTGATAGTACTTGCTTAGCCATCCGTGCTAAAATCGGGAACATTCTTTCTTTTGACTTCCACCACTTTAGGACGTCAAATTCTTCATTTTCTACAAACTCAACCTCATAGTTAGTATACAAAGCAATCTCATTAATTGTGCTTTGTTCAGTAGTGTGAGTTGTTTTAGTTTTTTTCATAAGATTGTCAAATGCAGATTTAAAGTGATTTTCCTTTTAGATGAAGATGTTTGGGTCGGGGGGGGGGGGGGGGGGGGGGGGCGTTGCCATATTGTGCACGAAACTCATTAAATAAAGAATAGAATAAACTACTAACCTCGTTGTATTCAGATTGCGGATCTATAGGGTTATCTTCATACATTGGAAAATCACCATAAAAAGATTGATAATAGAACTTGTAACATTGTTCCAAATTACCAAGTCGATAACGAGGATCGAGAATAAATGCAATACCATAAATATGCGGAATATGTGCATAATACTTTAAAAACTTTTCCTTCATAAAACCACAAAAATAGCTCACATAATCGGCATTTGCAAATTCATTAAAAGCACCGGCGAGATTAACAAGTTCACGCATAAATTCGTTTGAAGTAGGTTTATAAACATGACTAAAACTTTCAGTTGCATTATTAAAAAATATCAAAACATTACAAATTTTTTCGCAAGTGTCGATGTGAGCGGAGTTTAAAATGTAGTTATCATATTCTTTTAAAAAAGCAGGAAAATGTTCTTTATATCTAATAAGAACTCTAATTAATTTATAAGAACTATTCCACCGAATAGACAAATCTTTAGGAAAAGCAACATATTTCACATTTCTTTCATTCAAATAATTTTTCGATTTTAATTTAAGTTGACCATTAGCCCAAATACGTCTAATCCCCCCCTTCGCTACCTCCATAGCATCTCCCAACGCTTTTA